TTTATCTAAAACAATTGGACTCGTTTTCGCATTAGAACTGCTGTCAGGACAAACACGGCTTTGTTTAATGAAAGTCTAGTTTGTTTTTTTTTTCTCTCTCTTCTTTTGGCTGGGTCAGCGTTGGTGAAACATAATTAACTGGAAATGCAGCCAGAACGGATTTGTCCGTGAATATTATTTCCTCATTCTCGAAGCAACCCCTGAGTATTTTCATCTCTGTCTGTACAGTCAATGACCAGACGTTTACACATGCTAATAACAATACTTCAAGCTACCCATGAGTTGGTTGTGGTACATGAGGTTGTCTCCGATTGTCCATTTCTATCTCACCTTCGCTTAGATTTTATTTGAGCATATCCGATGGACTGGTGTTACAAATCTGAAGCAGATATTCATAAAAAAGAAAACCAACATTTCAAATGATTCATCCACTGTCTACCCATCCACCACTCCATCGGTAAGTTCTTCAACCTCACCGGGGCCAGAATCTATTATTTGCATGCAATGATAAATCTATTATTAAAACAAAAACACAAAAGACAGTTAAGTATGTGCACTGATGGATGTTGATTCCTTCAAACTGAATTCCAAATCCGGCGGTTCATTATGTTGATAATGAAAGTGTGAAAAATGTACGTGGAATTCCAGTGCGGGTTGTATTCATACGTTGTATTTCTTAACATCGCTATTTGACCCTAGCACCTTATTTCCGGTTACGATAGATAAACAAGTTTAAGATGAGGTGTTTAGGTAAACCAGTGTCAAGGGAAATGCAAAAAAGTTGACAAAGACATCAAGTTAGTTTCTTCCTTCCTGATTAGTATTCTTTGAATTTTGCTCCATTGAATTACTATATGCAGTGGTAGAGGGCACGTAAGTGATCTTTACATTCAGGTATTGTTTCATCATTGTATTGGCAGTATCAACGTAGTCTTTAATAAATGCAACCAACAAACCAGTCTTCGATTCCCCAATTTTGTCGATTTCAGCAAAGGCTTATGACGGCTCCAAACGGGTTCACAACAACAACGCTTGACAACTGCAATTTTCCAGTTTGATCTTGGAAAATAACAAGCTTGCCTAAGTCCACATCAACAATGATCTGCGTATAAACTCATCAAATCTGCTTTGGTTGCAAACCTGGTCAGCTTCACATGGGCACTTGAGCTTCCGTAAATGTTAATAAGCGCTTCGCATACAATTAAGAATACTTTCTAAGTGACCTGACAAAACCAATAAGCGTTTGCTGGATTTGTATTAATTGCTTTAGGTGGCGCTCACCAGTTATTATGTACTTTTGAGAGAGTGATGTATGTAAGGTGAAGTTGTTTGCATTTTAAACATGCACAGTGGAGAGAATGTTGGCATACCTATATACTACTTTCATGTAATGTGGATGAAATTTCTTTGGATATTGTACTTTTGGAAATTTAAAATGAGCTTAGGACACTGCGAACTAAAATGACTGCTCCCTTGTGCTCCAAAAATCAACCAAAATTTGTCTAAAGTACACTATTCTTGGCAGCTATTAAAATATGGAAAATGAATTTTGCCAAACTAGATAATACCAGCTTCTAAAAGTGCAATGACTGAATTACCAAATACATAAAATGTAAAAAAAAGTTATCGGCTCTTTTTTTTACAATTTACCTCTGAAGTTCGAGAAGTGAAAATGAGCAAGTAGAGCTAGCACTTTTTTGAAAGATGCACATCTGCAGTAAGGTCAAGCTGTATACTCTCTAACCCATATTACACCCATCATTCATACATCAAAATAAAGGGAATTAAAGGTTCTTTGAACAATACCTAAGATATACAAAGTCTCTTTTAAAACACCAGTATAACTAGTGAGGAAACCCGGGGAAACTCTTTTTCTTTAAAATTTTAACCCTATGCTAAATACGAAACTGTAGAGCGCCACCTTAACAAAAATTATCCACATTTGGGCCCATCCAGTCTAGTTTGCGATGGCAGCATTGAGTAATATGGCGGTAATTATTCAATAACTTAAAGTGTTCTGTACAAGCCCGTTCAAATAAAAATTTAAAATATATCGAGATGTCATTTGGTCTGCTGCCCAATGCGTTCCAGGTCCAATCTGTGGAATCCAGGGTAACTATTCCAATTGACATTGTTTTGGGAATCCTGGCTCCAAGTTCATCCCACATAAAAACACCCCGGAAATGTTTGACTGGCTCTGTTGTCGCAATTAAATAAAACTTTGTTTTACAGCTATGCTACAATTGATGACCATATCTGTTTTGGAGTCTAGCGCTTCCATGCCTGGATAATGAAGACCTTTTCCTTTTTATATGGCTTGTTTTCCTTTTGCATCCGCAGGAGCTGTAGCTGCCAATATACTTCAATGGCAGCGAGGAATGGAATATTCCACCATCGTGTTTCATCGAGTTGACAGAGGCTACTGACAAACGAGTAATTATCCCGCGGCGTTGACATTTTTGGCTGTTTCAAACTATTGCGCGTGAGTCGATGTCAGCATTTGATTGGTCCCGGATAAATGAACTAAGGCTTCTTTTTTCATCGCAAATAATGTCATTTCGCGTTGATATTGGCTTAATATGACAAATTTACACAGATGTGACATTTTGTTTTAAACGTTAAGGTTCAGTTCCACAGACTATTTAATGAGTCTTGTCGGAGATAATCACGGTAACGAATATGTTATGAGAAAAAATTTAAGTACAAATGATAACATGGGAAATCTCTCTAAATTGTATTAAAATTAACTCCTTTTTTGACTCATTTTCATTAAACTCTGTTTGGAGTAATTTCCATTTAAATATTTGTAGATTAACTTTATTTAATAGCGCTATATTCTATCTTGATAAAGAATGTTTCCTTACAGCTAGTGCAAGTCTCATTCTTGTATGTGTAAACTTACTTAACAAATAAGCTTTACAAACAGGTAAACATTTGGCTTCGTATTACATGTACACGCTGACTTTATAATAAGTACAAGTTTTTTCCTCATTATATATGTATAATCTGAACCCACCAAGCTTAAACTCAATAGCAAGAAATCTCTCCATATTATATATGTATGTTCTAAACTCGGCTAATAATAACACTCACTGACAAAGAAGTTCCTGGCATACTATCTGACCTCTACCTTGAATTGGTTGATCATAATACGAAGTCAGAAGTAATGAAGAAAAAAAACCATACGGTTCTATGAGGACAAGACTGGAACTTTCTAGTTTGGAGCACGCCGTTTATATGTGATGCCAGTGTAGCACCCTCAAAATATTACCAAAAAATCTTAGAGGTGCCTTGAACTAACTATAAATAACAACCTTAAAAATATGGCCTCTCACTTCCCGTTGCTTCAACACTAGAAATGATTTCTCTTGTATTTTACAGGTAAGAATTGTTATGTTCTAAAATTTATTAGAGAATAAGTTTCTCTGAAACCTTTGAAAGTTAAATATTTATGATTGTAACCTTCCTAGTTGCAATGTTCTTGTGAGCTCTCTTTGAATTCAATATTATAACATAATGAATGTTTAATTGTTTTTAAGAACTTATACTTGTATTTATGATAATGGTAAAAAGCATAAATTGGTTACCGACTACATGTTTAGATTTAATTTGGAATTTAAATATCCTTTAAGGAATAAAGAACAATGTTTTGTAATCTATTCTAAACTAATATTTTATCCCAAATTGAGTAATATATATTTCTTCAAAATGATTGTTGCATTAATCCCAATTATTTTATAATCTTTAATTTAGTCCAAATCTATTATCTGTAACATATTCTAAAATGCGAAAAGCTACAAATAGATGAAGTTGGTAAACTTGAAAGGAAAAGTATTATATGGTATTATCATTTTGTTTATTGTGCCTTTGGAATGTAGAACAGTATATTAATTATATGAACAAACTTAATTCCCGTTGCTTCAACACTAGAAAGGATTCCTCTTGAGTTTTACAGAGCCCGTACTCTCGCTAGCCAAGCATCCCCAAAGAAATGTAGCCGTGTCTGCATTATCATGCGTTACACCTTTTTCTCCTTCTCTCTATCTCTCTAACCATGGACCGAGCCCGCTCTTAAGAGATGCGTAATTTCTTCTCATAGCAGGAAATGAGTATATTATGAAAAAAAACATACCATAATAAATTTATAAATAGGAAAAGGTGGGTTAGCAGGCGGATTAAAACTTGCTTTGAAGTACAAACGAACTGCTTAACCAGATCAAGATGCTCGAAGCTAAAGTAATAAATAGAATACACCATAGTAAAGTTTCATTGGAAAATCTGCAAGTCTGTGTCAATGTTTCGGTCTAGGTATTTCCAGGTCTCGGTCCAGGTATTTCAATAGCCTAGGATACACATGCGCGTCTAAATTCTGGTCGAGTCTAGCAAAATGTTTTGGTTGGAATTTTTTTGACTCTTCAACCTTACCAAGACTTCACTAACTCACAAATTTCAAAATATAATCCAACTTCCCTTTTAGGTGACCATATTAGTCATGTCTTGAAATGTCAAAAACACGTGCCATGGAGCGTTAATACCTTGATGGGTATTTATCTTAGCATGAGAATTCTCCTCGAATACAGCTTGGTGTCTAGTCTAGTCTGTGATCATCGCTAGAAATGAAAGTGTAAATTTTCCTCCACACCTTATAAATGCTGCCAAACGTTAAATGATGGCCACTGAGGATTTATTAAAAGAACCGAAAGCGTAAGTTTGGATTTCGCCATATTGGCTTGTTGTTGTGGCTTTTACGTGACTGCATGTTTGGCCATGAAAAAAAACCTAACGAATCCAATAATGTATGAGAATGGCTTCATGCACGAAAGCTCTCTAGCGATCATTATGCAGTCTTGGGAGTCGTTGCTACGCTGAGGCTAGAAACCGTGATGGCAGGCAAACCACGTCACATTATCCTGACACCAGGCCGACCAGGCCTAACACTAGCCTCTTAATGCTGAGTAACAAGTGATGCAGCTATTGGTACCATGTTTATGTTTTTGGTATGACTTGGCCGGGATTCTAACCCGTGACCCCCCGTATTCTAGGCGGACGCTCTAACCACTAAGTCACCTGAGCGGTTGAGGTCTGATTGAAAGTAAATAGTTTCTGTAGCTAGATATTCCATCATTCTCTCAAAAACATTCGCCTACATAGCTTGTTTCTGGTGTTTAACAACAACGTGAAATAAGTAATTAAAAACTAACGTCCATACTCGCCAATAAGTCGAGTCCAACTACAAACTGCACAGACACATAATGCGTCGGCAGATCTGGATATGTGCAGTTTGTTAGGAGTAATCAAATGGTGGGAGGGGGACAGGCAATATTTCCATACGCATTATGATACGATAATAAAGATAAGCAGTTTACAAGTTTACTATACTTTTAAGAGAGCACATAAAGTGTATTATCTTTATTTTATGCTTCCATCGAAAGGTTACAAATTTTCTCTACAAAACCATAGCCACATTACGCTGAACTTCAGCTGACTGCATTGTTCATTGAAAATTTGTTTGTTTTTTTAGGTTGTGTTCATCTTCAGAATAATACTATATAAATATATGATTTATTGCAATTTAAATAAATAGCTATCTGTAATTAACAATTTCAGATACGAAAAGAAATGTTGAGATTAAAAAATCTGTGTCCAAAATGAAACTGCGATTGAAGCTTCCTTAAACTGTCCTCTTTTAAAATTTGCAAACGAGTACCTTATCGTTCTTTTTGCAATGGATTATTTTCAGATATATTTTGCTACCTTTGAAAAGAAATTGTCATATTCCCCGACAGAGTACATCACATTATTTATATCTTCCAGTTACTGGGTCTTTTAGCTTTGAAATAAGGTGCCATTGCAGATCAACTATGTCCATAGGAAGTACATTGTCAGGTAGAATGCCAACTTGATCCTTCAGAAGTTCTCCTAATTTATCGGCAGCCAGATGCATCAAATGGCAGGGACAACCTGATATGTACACTAATGGAGACATGTATGAATACCAGTCATCACTAATGCTTTATCAGCTGAAAACCCCATACATTCAAAGCATTATCAAGCAAATAAAAATGTTATCTCCAGTGGAATCTACTGTTAATTATGGTAATGAAAGAATAGCACTCTGACTCTGCCCTTTTCGTTGTCACAATCTCTTAAACAGACTGTGTAAAACTTTTGTCATCATAATCACTACACCTGTCTGTGGCATTACCAAACGGCCCAATTGTCATGACCTTTGCAATTTTAAGCGATTCTGTATCTTCTTCTAAATACCTAAGAATATTAGATGATTTTCTTCTTGTACGTGAATATATTTTTGGCAATTTTGGAATCAGGAAACATCTGTTTGAACAAAGGACCATCGTCGTCTTCTACGGTCATGGGTAGTACGTGTTCTATTAAGAACTCTGTAAATAACGCCTCTGCATTTATAAAAATTTGTGTCCACAATTGAGCTTTGCTGTAAAAGAAAAGAAGTTACCGCAGCATTGGAGTTAGTAAAACCAGCTAATTTAAGGTTTCTTTATTTTACTACCAAGACCAATATTAAAATCCAATACAGAGCCTGCAATGGAACGCTGTATTATGTAATTCTTGTATTCATCTCTGAATTTATTCTTCGTTTTTATCAAATCCATCTGTGAAATTATTTGAAAAACATGTGTGCTCCTAACACACGTATCGACTAGAATAAATCTCACTTGACTTTTAGCGCCAAATAGCCGTAGCCTGGTTATGTACCAGATATGAAACAGAAAGAGGAATCTGCGAGCAAAGATTATAAATTAGAAAGCCAGTCTATTCTCTCCTAACCAAGCGATACTGCTGCTAAAAATAGAAACCTAGATCAAACAATCTTGGAAATTGGGCAGCCGCTAAAAATAGAATATAACACTGTTAGGAAAGTAAATGCCAGTCTACAGACAACCGTACTTTTATCTCCTAGTTAGGTAGAAGCCGACTTTTCTAGAATACGGTCTGTGGGATTATTTGGGTGTTGATAAAAATGAGAAAAATTATACATGTTTTAAAGTAGGATACACTGAAAACGCGTAATGTAGTGAAAAAAGTGTAATGATTACGCCAAAAGCACAATGGTTGGTATGTATAGAACTTGTGAATGTTGCTAATTTTCTATATATGAATAGAATATGTGATAGTTATTTGTGGTTCTTATATTTTAATGGAGAGATGATCTCTTCTCACACAACTAAGATAAAAATATCCATTTCTCATCTAGACTTCAAAACTAGCTGACGGGCTTGCTAAGTTGTTTACATATATATTTCTTACTGCAATATTAAATGAGTCCGAACTGCTGGTTCGATCTCTCTGGTTTCGATGGAAAACTGCATTTGCGGGTCGATAACATAGGCACAAAAAGGGGCGTGGTTCTTCTCTGAATTTTCGTTACTGTGCGAGAAGGTTGTTGATTCATGTTTCCTGCTTGAGATAATATAGACTTGTCAGCATTTGGATTTCCTCACTTCTTTCAAGACCTTATTCGGATTTCTAATCGTAGTAAAAGATTGCCGCCGTGGCTTTATGTCTGAGTAGCACCGTTTTTTATTTAGGACCAATATTTCCACTGTGGCTGGATGTCTGAGTGGCACCGTTTTCATTTAGGACCAAGATTTCTACTGTGGCTGGATATCTGAGTGGCACCGTTTTCATTTAGTACCAAGTAAACAATGGGATAAGTGTGTGCGTAAAGTAATCCTGTAAGTACTTTAGGAGAAGTAAGGATAAAAATCTAATGTAGTTTCAAAATTTTCCAAGTAGGTTCCAAAGAGCTTGACCACATGGGCACAGATACAACCTTAAATCCGGGAATGAAATGGACTTTTTCGTGTGTCGGTTGATTCCGTTGAGACATTTAGTCTATTAGGATATCCAGCCTACCTGAGATGTAGTGGACTTTAAGGTAGATGTTTGGTAAGGGAACTCAGTTCGCATTTTCTTTGGATCTAAAAAATTAAATAAAATTGATCATTCACCATAACGGCAAGTCACTTCTAACCAACTCTATATACCGGAGTTCAATTCTGTCACTTGCCTGTCTCGATAAGGGCTGCATTAGCAAATACTTGTATAATTACGTACTCTCTACCACAGTATCCTACTCCATCCAACATCCGATCACATGTGATTCTTTTCTTTTACTTAACTTTTCTCGGAAAGTATGTGATAAACTATCTGGTACTGACTTATTTTTAATATACTACGCCCAAACGTAAAAGGGTATGCCTGTGATGGAAATTAATAAGGCAGATTAGGAAACTTTTCAGTGCTATTCCTACTGGTCATTTTAAGAATGGAGTCGATCTGATACACTGTTTTACTAACTCTCCAGGATACAATGCCGTAAATTGTTGGCCATTTTTAAAGATGCCAACAAGCTATGGTTTGATGATGCTTGTAAGAAAGCCACCAGGGAACAGAAGATCCTAAGAGACTGTAACACCAGTCCAACAAATAAAAGCCAAAATTAATACTGTATATTCCAAATTAAAGCCTGTTGGTCCATTAGAAAGAACAAGATGTATTATGTCTCTTGCTTGAATTGTCTCCCTCGGTTAAACCCGTACTGAAAATCATTGGCAACAGTAGAAACTGCATCATTTAAGTGCAGTAAACTAATTCTTTGGCATAACATTTGACCGTGAACCTGATGGATGCAGCATCACTGACCATGTCTCAGACAATATCCAGACATAAAAAATGTCAAATCGATAGGAAATACTTTTGGAAATAAATAATTAAATTATTTACATAATTCATTGCACTCTTCAGATGTATCTTCAAGCAGATAAACGATAACACGATTCAGGAGGTCACAGAACATGACCCCTAAGCAATCGCTATCAGATCTTCATGCAGAACCGAAGAATCTGGTTTTTAATTATATTGGAATTCAGCTGCTTAAGAGTGTTGAGTCCCCTATGATATACTTCTAATTAATCACTGTAGTAGAAATATTAGATGTCATATTAGCACCATTTTCAATTAGGACAAACAAGACATATTGAGAAGTCTTCTTGTAAAACCCATATAGGTCTGACTTTCTGTATCAGAGCATAAATACCAATAAGATTTTTAAGATGTGTGACATTTTGGCCATATTGGCCATTTAGCACTAGCTAGAAAGCACAATACCGATATGACCATTCATCCAGGAGAAGTGACTTTAAGATTTTCAAAATGGACACTATGACAGCTATTTTAAAAGTCAGATCAACATAATTGGCATACATGGCAACAAGATATCATAATTACTGTGTGATGTGATGTGATTTAGACTTTTTAATGTAGCTTTAACAATTTCTCAGTCAGATCGCTACGATGTCTGTAGTGTGACAGTTTATAGTGATTTCTAGCACTGGGGGAATCATGCCGCAGACATGTTGTATGATGTCCCACCCAGTCACATTATCCTGACACCAGTCCTAACACTAACTTCTTAATGCCGAGCGCCAAGCGAGCCAGCTGTATGTAGGTAACATTTTTTAAATTCTTTGGTATGCCTCGGCCGGGGTTTAAACCTTCGACCACCCGCATCTGAGGCGGACGCTCTAACCACTAGGCGACCGGAGCGGTATATCATAATTAGTCTTCAAGAAATATTGATAACAATTTCAAAATGGGCATTGTAGCAAGCATTGTTAATGTCTGAATGTTACCATTTTTAGTTAGGACCAACTTAACCTCAAAAAGTTGCTTAGTAAAGGCCATATGTTGCAGTGAAAATTGATTCAGGAGTAACATAAGATTTTCAAGATGGTACCGTGGTGGCCACTTAGAATAACAGATCAGCACCATTTTCATTTGGACCAACTAGACATCATAAGAAATTTTTCAATGAAAACCCCATGTTATTATGATTACCCATTCAAGATAAGTTGTGATAACAAGATTTTCTTCTGATCCAAACCTCATGTCAATTTGATCTTCCGTTCAGGAGTGACAATAACAAGGTTCACAAGATAGCCACTGTTGTAGCCATATTGGACTTAAGACTTGCAACATTTTCTTTTAAATCCAACCAGACATGATAAATCTTTGGTGTAAACTCCAAGTTGATATAACATCCATTCAGGAAATGCAATAATTAAATTTTCAAGATGGCTATTGTGATAGCCACACTGGACATAGCGAAAACCTCATTTGGATATGACCATCCATTCAGGAGTAGTAGTGATAAAATTTTCAAAATTGCCACATTGGCTCGATGTCCGAATGGCACCGTTTTCATTTAGGACCAAGATTTCCACTGCGACTGGATGTCTGAGTGGCACCGTTTTCATTTAGGACCAAGATTGCCGCCGTGGCTTTATGTCTGAGTAGCACCGTTTTTATTTAGGACCAAGATTTCCACTGTGGCTGGATGTCTGAGTGGCACCGTTTTCATTTAGGACCAAGATTTCTACTGTGGCTGGATGTCTGAGTGGCACCGTTTTCATTTAGGACCAAGATTTCCACTGTGGCTGGATGTCTGAGTGTCACCGTTTTCATTTAGTACCAAGTAAACAATGGGATAAGTGTGTGCGTAAAGTAATCCTGTAAGTACTTTAGTAGAAGTAAGGATAAAAACTTATGGACGGATGGAGACCAGACAACAGATTACAGACCATCTCTTAAGATCTTCTGGTCTATGACCAATAGCGCTAAAAAATAAGACATGCATTTACACAATGGGGCATCCTAACAGTTCTGATTAGAAATCAGATTTCACGAGTTTCAAAAGAATACATACTTCAAAATTTTAATTAGTTTGGTGTTGATTCAGCTATTAGTGGTTTTCAAAGCAAACGAAAACAGATCTGAATGGTAAGCAATCCTATTTGTTTATATTGTTTTGGGGGCAGCATGCGCTGAATCAATACACCTATGTGTGGGTGATATGAGATCCCAGGGAACTAATTACATATAACTTTTTATTACATGTACATGTTATGTATGAGATGCACATTTAATAATTAAATTAGTGAGTAATTATGTGAATAGCACAAATTAAAGCTATTCAAAGATCCACCCGTTTGAGAAAATTTGGACAGCTGATAATGCAAGTTGCAAAGTGTTTTTCGTCGAGATTAAAAGTGCATACAGTGCACTGTATTAAAAGTGCATACAGATATTGTGTGTATGTGATTGGAATTTTAACATAGGTTTAATTTTTTTCAGTCATATCGCAATGATGTCTGCAGTGTGTCGGTTTATAGTGATGTCTAGCACTGGGACATCATGCTGTAGACGTATAGCATCATGTCCAACCCAGTCCCATTACCCAGACAGAAGAAAGACCAGTCCTAACACTAACCCCTTAATGCTGAACTCCTAGAGAAGCAGCTGTTAGTACCACGTTTAGAAGTTTTTGTCATGACTCGGCAGGGGTTCAATCCCGTGACCACCTGCATCCGAAGCGGACGGTTAAACCACTAGGCCACCGGAACAATTACTACCAAGATGTTAAGTATACCACCGTAAAAGAAAACACATTTACTAAAATAAAACAAATACATCTGATGAATCCATTAAAGTGCCATAAATGATGACGACAAAAACTGGTTCAGCTGTAACCGGATCACTGCTCAAATAAGGCTACTTTTAGAAATCGAATGAATGGCAAGCATTTTGCGATAAAATGAACAACAGTGGATAAAGTGGTAAACTAGTTTTAATATTCGAGTGCTGATAATATACTGAAAAAAATAACTTTCAAAAAGTGCAGTGTCGCTATTATTGAGAATCTGTTGCATATCAGTATGTGAATACATTCAAATAAGGTGTTACATTTATGACGTATTCACCTTTAGAAATTTTTTTTCTTCGTAACAGTTTCACTCAGAGAACAATAAGGTGGGCGAACACATCAAAGATGTTTAATTTTTTATTTGAATACCACATCTCACTCATGATGAGAGCTTCTAAAATGTCATTTACAGTATATGATTATCTACAGAGAAACAATGTACATGTACATCGAGTAATTCATGAGTAAACGAATATGATATCAACATAACGTGATGCCTGATAAATGAGATGAAATTTTAAAAAACTAAACATATATATTGCACATTAAATTTCGATTCTAAGTACTGGCTGTTGAAGTGAACATAATACAATGAAAACACACAGCATGTATAAGAACTTAAGTCAATGACACTATCATCTATATGAACATGAAACTGAGGAGCAAGACTTGTGTAAAGTGTTCAGCTGTAAACTACTACAAGCTGGTTATGTATTGTGCAAAAGTGGTTTAGATATTATGATCCTTTTTATTCTTCTACATCACAAAAAGTTTCAAATTCATCACTGATGATAAATCATTTTGCCAAATTTTGGTTGATAAAACGCCGTTTTGGAGACTGAAACAAATATTTGGAGTAAAATGTTTTTTCAATAATAGCTATCTAATCATCATACCTTAGCAGCAAGCTCACTACCTCAAAAATCCAGCAATTTCAAGCTACAATTTTAGCTATAATACATACACGAATTGGCACTAAATCAAATGTATACTTAAGCTATAGCGGAATACACAGTCAGAATGTGATTACATAGCGGTATGTTGATCAGATAAGTAGTATTGAAGCAACATATTTTACTCCAGTTTCTTGATCAAATATAGTACCCAATCACAATACATTATTAAAATAGATAAAAGGTGGAGAGAGTTACATTCTATTATCCTAAGAAATGCCATCTCTTGTCACTGAAAGTATTTAAGGCAGTTTTTAATTCTTTAATATAATCTGGCTGGAGTAATGATTCCATTTCCCTAGATCTGGCTATTTAGAAAATATTTCCCCACGCATATCCACTAGAAGTTATAGTGTACTGTCACTAAGAAGATGCTGAACTGGTGAAGGTCGTTAGCTGCACTTAGTGAGATGTGCGTACTGTCATGAGTGAAAAGAGGTCGGAGTCATTGGAACGAAAGATGAGGTAAAATCTTCAAGAAAGTAAACTCCTGACTTCCATTCTGAAGCTTGGTTAATAGTGGTTAACGAACAGTTGTACTCAAACGCAAAGCTAGTGGCGACTGCACCGACTCTGAGCCAAAATGCATAATAATTTTATTCGTTTTTGGGCTATTCTCTATATGCAGAATGATAAACCCATCTTATACAGGAAACCTGAGCCTAAGCTGATACCAAACATTCTCGCTTTCAAAGATAAAAATAGAGATCTGCTGCTATGCACCATCTCAGTCCATTTTACATACCACTCAAACGTCATAAACCGAGTTCTATTGATGGCTCAGGAGGCGAAGCAGCCAAAGTGGCAAAAGACTTGACCAGAGAAGACTGATTGCCATAAGTAGGAATCTGTTCATGGCAATGAAGGTGTGTACTGTCATGAGTGAAATCAAACCGTCCCAACAGAGCTGTAGATCGGACTAACCGAAGAAGCATGTACTTTGGTGATTCTGCATGCTGTAAATAGGGCAAGTATGTGGCAGGATTTATATAATAGACGAAACAACGAGAGCAGATAGAACTGCATTATTAGCAATATCAACTCATGGTTGATTCCTGTTGGGGTAATGTGGGCAAAGGACCATAGCCTTCAGTTGTGACAGTTCACTCTAAGGATGGCGAGGTCTTAGTTTTCTCCTAAATCCTTTTGTCTATAGCAGTGCAACATGTCCGAGATTGTGGAAATGCACAATTTTGTCGAGCTAGTGCTAACTTCTCCTCCTTAAATAGCCATATGAAAAGTTAGCTATCTCGTGTAATTATTTCTTAACTGGAGGAATGCATCCTTACTCGCACCACTGAGAAAATTGTCCACTTTTCTTCTACTTTCAAGCAGTGGGCCTTCTCACCTAACAATTATATTCTCTTCCTATTGTGACAACTGCTTGTCCTTGAGGGCCTACCTGTTTTGTATTATCAAGGCATGCAGGTTCGACATATGGGTTCAGATGAATCTCCTGCCATCATGGTTGCTTGAACAGGTAAAGAAAGGCCATGCTTTTGTTTGGAATTGAAATACCGGATTTAACAAATCATTTATACATGATTTTTTTTTTCACTTGAGGGAAGCAATCAGAAAAAGACAGCATTCCAATTCTCTTGTTTTTGAAAGATCGTTTTAATCAGAGGTGTTAGAGGCCAACAAATGGATTGAGTCTTGACTGTCCAGGCCTTCAAATCTGGGACAGGAGAGACAAAGTTTGGATTCTTGCATTAAACCTTTTCACACGTAGATGCACCAGTTGTCAATCCAGGTGGGTAGAGATATTACTGGACACAGAAAAACAAAGCTACCATTCAATTTGTATTGGTTGATTTCTCTGTGATGAGCAAGTGAGCACATTTAGTCTGCCAGGAATGAGACAGACTTGAACATGAATTTGTTGCTGATGACACTACCCAATAAAATCCCAAGCCAGGAGGCAGATTTGGTCCTCCCATGCCATCTGAAAAAACTTCCCCACAGTGGAACTGTTGGATAGAGTGAGTATGCCCTTCCATAAACCATATCTTGCCACAAATGAAAGAATGACTTTGGCTTTAAGTACCAAACAGTCTTGAATAAAAAAAATCATGGTGACTTTATGTTTTGAATAATCTCAACTGACCTGT